TAGGTTTTTTGTTGAAAAAATTGTGGACTTTACCAACTATTGGTTAATGTCAAGAATAGGTGATACATTCCACTCATTCTGTTATATAATACGAAATGAATATATATTTTTACGACGTAATTGTATTTACTACAGATTCGCAATAATTATTTTATACATTGTAATAAACTTTTAATTTTACGTTTAATGAGATTTAAGTCAAGGCTAACTAAGACCATTAACGTATTTTGTGTTTATTGCATGTTCGACATTCCATGACCGCCTATTTACTTCGAAAAGAGACCAGCAAGTTGATTTTCGTATTTTTTAACGAAAATAAATATAAAGGTGTTAACTATTAAGAACTGTTTACATTATAAATATTATTCTCATTAGCAAACTGCATACAGCAGTGTTTTGACGTTTCACTTGATTTTTACTTTGGAAATCGTTCTCAAAATAAAAACATTAATAAATTAAACAATTTTTGTTGTTTGTTACTTGTTAAAAAATTATTCTAATTTAATTTTATCTGACTCATTCATATCGACAATTCAGAAACACATATATTATACATTTTAAAGTAAATGACTTTAACATGATATTGCCAATATTACTGAGTTGCGTTCTTGGGACGACTTTATTATAAGATAGTTTACTTGAATACATGAAATCAACTTTAACTCAAGAATATCAGTTAGAACAAATCATAGGGACAGTATCTTTTATCATTTTTTGTTGAGAGTTTATTTTTAGGTTTTTTTTTAATATGATACTAAATTGTTCTGAAGCTATTTTCTTGTGGCATTTTAAATTAATTACTATTTAACTGGGAATAAGCCACAATTAAAGATAAAAATACGTTTATTGACGTTTCAATTTCCACTTTGGAAATCGTTCTCAAAATACAAATAGTAAATTAAACAAATTTTGTTTTTTGTTACATAGTGAAAAATTCTTCTAATAATTAGATTTTATTTGACTCATTTATATTGACAATTCAGACATACATTATACATTTTACAGTAGACGACTTTAAAATGATATTGCCAATACTGTTGAGTTGCGCTCCTGGGACGACTTTACTTATAAGATAGTTCATTCGATTACATGAAATCCACTTTAACTTGAGAATATCCGCCAGAAAAAAAAATCATAGCATGTAATTCGTCTTTAAAAAGACAAACACATGACATGATGACAGTAAAATTCTCCTGTTAGTGATTCAATAGTAAATTATGAGGGAAAAACCAGGAAAAAAACCTCATAATACTATCCCTACATGGTAAGTATTTGTTTGTGCATTTAATTTACCTTCAATAAACACCAAAATTCTGATTTTATATGTTTCGTTATTTAAAAAAACATAAATGGTGTATCCTCTATATGTTACTGACTTACTAATACTGGCATTTTCTTATTAATAACTTCCTCTTTCAATATTGGTAACCAGATCCTACTACATTCTGCCGAGGAACTTGCGGCACAATTGGCCTCATTTAGCATAATTAGAGCCGCTTCTTTGATTTTTCTATTTTTTACCATCCGTTTCTTTCAGGACTACATTGGAATTATTCCATTGAACCCTATGTTCATTATCGCATGCGTGTTTACATATTTGAGATCTATCAAATTCTCTATTTTTAATATAATATGATGTTCACTTATTCTAACATTTAATGGCCTTGATGTTTCACCTTAATAAAAATGATCCCATTCACAAGGTATTTTATAAATGCAATTCTTTGTCCTTTCTTGTTCATTTTTAGGTTTGGTTTTGGACAAAATAGATCTCAACGTGTTTGTCGTTTTGAATGTTGTTGAAATGTTGAATTTATTTCCTATCCTTTTAAGTTTTTCTGATAATCCTTTTATGTACGATATTGTTATTTTCCTCGTATTATTCCTTGTGCATGCTGTAGGATCTCGTTCTAAGTTGTTCTGTTCTATTGGATCGATTGTTGAAAATTCCTTATTTATAAACGATTTCCGAAGTGGAAATTGAAACGTCAATAAACGTATTTTTATCTTTAATTGTGGCTTATTCCCAGTTAAATAGTAATTAATCATACTAAATGTAACATTATTATTGTGTTACGTTTATTTTAGTTATATATTTATGTTATATAAAACGGGATAATGGCCAATGAAAATCTTTTAGATTTTAGTTAAATATACATTCGCAGTATACATTGAATTAAAGTAATTTGCATATCAAGTTTATTAAAATTATTAAAGACTGCCATTTATTTTAAAGTATAAGATTATTGATCACTCTATGATGATAATATAATAATATTATTTTTTATTGTTACATATGATATATTTTTTGACCTGTGTTTTTCTGGTATTTTTATTTTAAAAGGAATGTTTGTTAAGTCTATTAATTTTTGAGTGTTTCTTCATAAGTTTAACCTAAAACTTAAAATTAAAATTTATTGCGGTCCATTTTGTTTTACTGTTTAGCTGTATTCCGTGTCTTGTTTTTCTTAGTCAAACTGTTAAATTTCGTGATATAATTAATTTCTCTCGTTTATCTATCCGTTTTTTATCTACATTTTTTTATCAACTATATCCTTGCCCATCCACAATAAAGGTCACTGACTTGAGCAACGTGGTGTTCGTTAAGTATTGTGAACTAGAAGCTTTTTTTTTTATCAAATTTTATCAGCTTTTTTTCGCTACAATGGTACACATCAGACCTTAACACCTCTCGCAGGATCTGGTTTGGGTAGTCTTTTAACTCTCTTTAAGCAAGAATATTGTTCTTGCTTTATCATCCAGCACATCCAGTACTCTTATTTGTTTTAGGTCTCTAAATAGAAACCGTTTAGCGACATATCTGCCTACGTTTATAGCTTCTCCAAAGCAGTTGTTTGCAGCCTAAATCTTCTTTTTGTTGCTATAACTTGTGTGTTTTCATGCAAGAGATTCATAGGTTATTCGTAGTATGATGCTGTTTATCAGTCTTAATTTTGTTTCCATAGCTTATTTGTTTCTTCTTCCTGCGAGTCCTCTTATTAAGGCTCTGGCCATTGCTGTTTTCTGGACTGTCACGTTAACATGTAGTGTGAATGTTAGAACGTAGTCCATTGTGACTCCTAAGGTATTTAGCTTTGTTTTCCTATTTGATGGGTCTGTCTTACAGTGTGAGCTGTTCTTCTCAATTATCTCTTCTCTTTTTGAAAATATCCTTTAAAATGTGTCTTTTTTTGGATTTAATGCTATTTTCCATTTTCCATTGGATATTCCATTCTTCTATCGTATCCAGTGCCGTCTGTAGATTTCTTACTGCAATATCCAGGTTTCTATGTTTTGCCGCGATTACAATGTTTCAGGTATTTTAAGAATATTTGTTGTGTATATGCTATACAGGAGGGGTGATAAGACTGCCTCCTGTAGTAATTCAGCTTCCGGGATTCCGTGTTCAGATATTCACTCTATATTATAAACCAAGCACAGTTTATTGGTTTGTAGTGTCACTAATTCTTTGTAGAATTTCTTTTCCTTGTAAGAAAATAATCTGAATGAAACTAAGTTTGGTTATTTTTATACTCCTGTGTGTAAAATTCAAATTGTTACAATAAAAGAATCATTCTTTGAGCATTCTATTTGTGAACTTGGGTTATTTTTTATTGTTAGTATTTTTATTGTCACAGCATTTTTATTTCACTAGGCAGTACTAAATATCAATATTAAACATATTTAATATAGTGATTCCTGTAATGCCAAGTAAAATGTTTATTATACTGATTTCTTTGTAGATGTGTTTTTATTTAGTTTTGACACACACCAAAGAACAATAATAATTAAATACGACCTTTCACAGAGACCACTTCGCTTAATGCAGCTCATTGAAAAAATATACATGACTGTATGAAAACAATACTCCATTGATAAATTGTTTAACTACTGGTAATTTACTATTTGCTCTAATGCACTCAAAGGTTTCCCATTATACATGTGTGCGATGTACTATCAACAACGATTGGTAGTACGTAAAACTCTATATTATTTACATAGACAACTCTTTGTTTAAGTTTAAGTTTAACAAATAATACAAGTCGATGTAAAAAAAATCTGTATTGGTCAAATGTGTATATAGATGCGGATATATATATATATATATATATATATATATATATATATATATATATATATATATACATATATTATATACATCGTTGCCGTTAATGCAAAATGTCATATGTTAAAAATGCACTTTCCAGGAGGCAAAAAAACTCAATAACATATTTACTGTGTAAGTAGTGTTTTTCTCCAAATTAGGTGGCAGATGCACTAATTTGCGCTTTTGATATTCAGTCTAAAATTCAATAGTGTTTAAGGCTGTCTGTGTTTTTATACGGTCAAAACTGTCACATAATATAGGATGTACATAAATAAATAGATGACCAGATATTGATGTTTGTGACATTTAGTTTTCATCTAGTGGAATAAATCGCTTTACGGAGAAGCGCAAAACTAATGTTTTTAAGAATTTGGAAGATAAAGAAGAAGAAGTATGGTGTTTAGGTTTTATACATTTGGGAATAACTTTATGGTCTCGAACGGCTTTAAAAAAAGACAATTCTTACGTAGCAGCAGTTTGATATATGATTTAGTGAGCTGGTAAAATTTCAACAAGCTTGTTGGAATGCCACAATGGCGAGTGGCAATTAATATCTAATACATGCCGTTAGTCATCAATTTGCCGGTATGTACTTTTAGTGCTTTTGAAACAAGTTAATTAATTGTTTTTGTAATAATTATGTGATATTTTGTCTATCCCTACCTACTGATACCCTATCAATGTTTTGTTTTTTTACACCAGTGTCAGTTTAAAATGGACACCTGCTTCGTATTGTCGGTATTTTCGGCACATATTAAAGATAGGCTACACCCATCAAATATGTAGCCTGTTTTTCAAAATATGAAACTTTTCCATACAAAAATAATTTTAATTTTAGAACGTTTATATATTTCTTTTTGATATTTAATAAAATTAGTATATATTTTTTTAGTTAAACGCTGCTAGAGTTTTACAAGAGAAGCATCAAGTTAAGCAGTCCCCGGATTTCGCGGAAACAGTTGAATTATGCTTTGAAAAAGGTCCACCTAAGTTGGCCAGACTCTCTGTCTTTGCAAGAAAATTAGTAAATACTTTCTTGTGCGTTACACAACTTGGATTTTGCTGTGTATATTTTGTATTTATTTCTGATAATATCAAACAGGTAGGTAATTTTATATTTATATGATATGCGCTAAATTAAAAAAAAAGGCGCATCAAGTGACATAAGTAAGAACATTTCCCATATCGTCTCTACATATTGTTTTTTTTTATTTAACTCAAAATATTCAAAATTTTTATTATAACGTAACAAAAAATCTTAACTACTAAATAATATTTTGGCTCATATGGAATGAACGGGCGAACAGTTTGTTGCCAATTGTTCACAATCACTATTTCAGAACAAACAGTTGTTCTGAAATAGTTTCAGAAGTCATCATCGATCAATTATATACTTGCTAAGAGACGCAAAATTTTAACGGGTAAGTTACATTGTAACTCATCGCAAATACTGTAAAAGTTGTTTAGATAGTGTGACAATGAGAACCAAGGAATGTGAGAAATGATTGACAAAATGTCTCTGAAAATAAATTCTAGTAAAACTTCTACCTGAAGAATGGTGATCTTCCATCTAAAATAAAGGTTCAGAAAAAGTTTAATATTATAGACCAGCATGCATCGTTATATACAATTCTTTCTATTTAGCAGTACAATCACCCATATTTATTTTGAATCTGTAGTTTTTGGGACAAATGCCACATTCATGTGAATGAATTTATTCAGTATCAAATAAATCGTTTTTCTTGATTTTAAAAACATAAAATCATAGATGATGTATGGTCCCTTCATGATGACCGTATAAAAAATGTGTGCGCAGTTTCAGGTAACGGCATATTTTGATATTCTGTTATGCCAGAGACATCAAATTTAATCCCCAATAGTTACAACAGTATTATTAAGTGAGACGTAGCTCCGTCTCACATAATAAAGTCATCTTTAGAACTGTCTAAAAAAATTAAAGAATGCGTAATTTTCTATAATAGATCTTTCTCTACCTTCCCCATTTACTTGATCTAACAAGCTTGATGCTTACGTATGGAGTACGTGGTTTTCCTACTTCATAAAGAAATTATGATGTTTCTCATTTGTGCTTAATAAATTTGCACATATCACATGTTTTGTACCAGGAAAATTTTAAATTATTAGATATTTAGTTATTTAGTAATTCATTATTAGTTTTGGTGTACTTCGTTTTGACGCATATTGTGTTTTGATAGAATTTTATATGACACTAAAATTTTTTACTAAAATAATTTATCAGAGACGGGGTTAGTGTGTTAAAAAAACTATTACGATTATTTGAAATTCTATTAGTACAAATCTCTAGTTAACCAGATCCAACGAAATAAGATTTAGAGTTAGAAAATCAATCCAAATTTAAATTAAAACCTAGCTAAAGTTCCTACTTATGTATATAGTTAGTTCGAATAAATATAGAACATAAATAATTAAAACAAGTTATTCAAATATAAACTGGAAACGACTAGGAAAACCAATAAAATATGGTTATTACTTTTTTGATATTGATATTAGTTTTGTGGTGGTCGTAGTTTATCGGCCAGGGAGCTCAAATTTGATTCCACAGCATTTTAATTTCTAACCATTATAACTTTTTTTTACATCTTTAAAGAGTAGTGTAGGGTTTCTTATACCTAATATCTAATAGAGGGAGTTTGATCTTTAACACTTCCTTCCTTCACCACTCCGAGACGGTTGGCGTCCAATAAAAACCTTTCCTTGGTAACTCTAGACTTTGGGATGGAAGGGCACTCCGTCACATCACTTATTGCCTTGCACTCTTACCAATTGAAACCGATTGAAACCAATCTCTCGGCCAGTCTTATCTCATTTATCGCTCGCTCTCCAATGTTCTAGCCCGTACGACTATAAATCCTGGCCCTTTTACCTACCAGCACAAACACAGCCGGTGATCATCCACAGAGTGTCAGCTGACACAGTCCTGCAGGCACATGCTACCCGCAGCAGACTAGTTCTGTCCACGCCTACCATGAGCCTCTTGTAAGTTGGTATTTTTACCGCCTCACTCCATACTGGGGCCTCGTAGGAGGACAATAGACTGCACAACGCCTTAAAGCGTCCTTCTTTCTTCGGATTTGGGTCCACCGATATTAGGTATTATCCTTCACAGCGCAGCCATTCTCTGAATAGCTCTGCGGGTCACCCCCCTCAAATATTCCCCCCCAACTCCCACCCTGGTGGATAGTAACTCTAAGATACTTGACGTACTTTTTGAGCGCCACTTTCGCTCCCGCGTACTCAAATTCAACCCTATCTCTTTTTCTGTAGCCTCTGAGTACTACAGCCTCCGTCTTATCGTTTGCGAGAAAAAGATCATGCTCGCTCATCCAATCCTCAACTACGGCAGGCCTCCAGACATTACAATCATCTCCTCGATACGTGCACGTAGCATTCTCTCATCATACAACTTTCCGATACAAGTCAAATAGGTCAATATTTGATGGTCACATTGTGAGGCACCCTAAAAAATATGATCCTTTACATCTGATCATTCAGGGAAAGATCCAGGGTAATCGTGGTCCTGATAGAAGAAGAACATCATGGCTGAAAAATCTAAGGCAATGGTATGAAAAATCAACGACATCGTTATTTAGTGTTGCTGTCAATAAAGTCACGATAGCGAATATGGTAGCCAACATGATATCCAACGATCGATAACAGTCATGGAACCAGAAGAAGAAGAAGGTCAATATTTTTCTGCTTTAAGTTTCGGTAGAAGCACAAGCCTCGAGATTTTCCAGGGATCTAGAAACGACTGCGCGGCAAGAAGAGCACTCATATGCTCCAGCAGCCACGTGGGATTCAAACGGCCCAGACGTACAACTGCCTCTGGCTAAACACCATCTAGACCGGAAGTCCTACCAGACTTAAAGGAACTCACCGCCACAGCCAGTTCATCCAAAGTTAAGGGAATCCCACGCTTAGCCTCAATGTCTCTCCGCACACCATGCCATCGTCCTTGTTTAAACAGTTCGCTGACTATCTAAAGCTTCTGGTTGAATAGCATGTCATTCAGAGCACAGGCGTCAAAACCATCGAGCAAAAAGACAAAAGAGGGAATTTAAAGGTAGTGAGGACAAAAATATTGTTAGACAGGAAGTGTTATCTTGAGAGGCCACTTTAAACAAGGAAAGACAGTCTCTTTCCTTGTTTAAGAAATCAAATTTAGTTTGGTTATGTTATTGTTTGTCCCAACTGTCACATGAAATTTTATTTATATTGAAATTTTTTACCAGTTGTGTCACTTTTTAGACTATTATCGTTAATATTTAATTAAAACTTACTCATCTGAAAAATATTTTATAGCTATTGTTAATAAGTGTCAGAACATTTAAATTTAGCGCCTTTGCATTTCCGGATATGTCCGCCATCAGAGGCCACTTTTTTGGTCTCCTTTTTATAACGATTAGATTCCCTCTTTTGTCTTTTTGCTCGATGGTCAAAACACTATGCTAATGCTAACTATTATAACTGACCACACCGTGCTTCCCTGGGCACGTAAAGACTTCGGTCCCCTTGGGCTAGTCTGCATCGATCTAGTTACAGAGAACTAGTTCTCTGCTAGTTACCTGAAACAGGATTTAAGATTCAATCGGAGTTGGAGCAATCCGAAAGAATCTCCACGGCAAAACTGTCTTACGATATTATTATAATATTAATTTCACCTATTAAAATGTCAAAAGAATGGAAAAATTTCTTAAAAAGCTTCTTAACAATCTCACTGTTTCCTGTTATGTCTAAATTGTTTTAAAAAATATTCTTCAACAAAATTAAGAATGCAAGAGACTGTAAAAATATTATACCAATACACTAGTTTGGATTTCAAAAACACCGCACCAAGAACATAGGTTACTTAGTATTTTAGTGACATCTTCAGATATAGTCTAAAAGTCTACAGTTATCTTATAGCTCTAAATTACAGAGAAGATGGATTTAATAAAAATAAATAAATATCGAGGTACTGTCAGATCGGCCCTATTTTGTTATAAACAAAGGCCAAATCCGAAAATATACTTTTTTACCTGTAACATTTTTTGCTCACATTTTTGGAATATTTCAAATAAATCTATTTGTTAGCTAACGAGCGTTTCGTTAATTGTTGTTAAATATTATCAACAGTTGACACTATTATTTTAAAACTATAAAAAAAATCAAATTTAAAAAAAGTGGTTTTTACTAATAAATAAATAGAATAACTTTGTAATTTTTGAAGGTAAGTACAGTCCATCTAATTTACGTACCGTTGCACGTCATTATCATTGACAGAGATCGAAGTTGACATAGTCGCTAAAGTATAAGAAAATCGGTAAAGAAATAATAAATAAGACTTACTCACAATCAATTTAATTTATCTATCAGACGACCGATTTCGCTTTCTACAATATGCAAAGCATCCTCAGATCTCGATACAAAGTTAAAAAAATGCTGAAATAATAAAAACTCATATTAGGGTGTTGTCTAATAACGATAAACAAAGTAGATGTTGTAAATTACAATAATTATGCCAATATTACATGTCTGTGGTTTTATTTACATGAGTAAGTTAAATGAAAGGTATAAAAGTTTTAAAAGTTTAAACAGACAAGGTAAGGCCCACAAATTGTTATAAAATAGTCTCTTCGATTGTAATAAATTAATAAATGAGCAAATAAATAAAATAAACATTACTTACATGCCGGTACTCTAATAATTAGTGGATGGTAGAACATGGTTGAAACTACTATGTATTGTTGAATGGAGAACTCAATTCTATTATTGCAGTTGTTTGACAGTAAACGGGAAGTTCTTGAGGAGATAATAGAATTGAGTTCTCCATTCAACAATACATAGTAGTTTCAACCATGTTCTACCATCCATCATTTATTAGAGTACCGGCATGTTTATTTTATTTATTTGCTCATTTATTAATTTATTACAATCGAAGAGACTATTTTATAACAATTTGTGGGCCTTACCTTGTCTGTTTAAACTTTTAAAACTTTTATACCTTTTATTCAATTTACTCATTTAAATAAAATCACAGACATGTAATATTGGCATAATTATTGTAATTTACAACATCTACTTTGTTTATCGTTATTAGACAACACCCTAATATGGGTTTTTATTATTTCAGCATTTATTTAACTTTGTATCGAGACCTGAGGATGCTTTGCATATTGTAGAAAGCGAAACCGGTCGTCTGATAGTTAAATTAAATTGATTGTGAGTAAGTCTTATTTATTATTTCTTTACCTATTTGAAATGGACTCACACAAGCAACACATTCATGATTATAAAAAAATCCTGAATCCATTTTAAATCAAATAGGTCACCTAATTATTGCAAAAGGGGATTATACAACAAAACAAATTAATATTTCATATAAATAAATAGAAACAAAACAAGAGTTAAAAAATAATCTTGTTAAAAACAATTTGAGCCGCTTGTATACGTCGTATAAATATGTAAAATAAAATACTTAAATAAAAACAACACTTTCATTACTTATTTACTTTGAAATGTGTTGTTACAACTAAATTGTCAAATGCTTTTTTTCTTTTTTCTTCAAATTTATTTAAATTTCGGTAATTGGTAACTTTCGTAGTCCTGGTACGTTCTTTGGGCGGTGATAGAAGTGTATTAATTTTTACTGCCTGAGGAATGGAACTCACAGTTGAAATATGTAAATTTAAAGCTGCAGCTACACGCTACAACAATAATGTATATTTTGAGCATCTACAATAATATATTAAACATACATTAACATACTTTTCTAACAGCAGTCATGGGTAGAATGGGGCCGGTATTATCACATTCCTGTTCAAAATAATGAATCAAAGCAGCTACCATCTCTTTACAACGACGAGGGAGTGTAGTGATCATGGTGATGTCATGTATTGTCCGTCTACAAGGATTCCGGTCTCTGGTAATTTCTTTTAACTCATGCATAGGTCTTTTGCATATGCCTGTAATTTGATCGATCCATCTTATTGAAAAGCTTTCTCGTGATCTTCTGCCTTCTACCTTTCCTTGGAAAATAAGTCTTTTCATGTTTTCTGTGTCTGCTCTCATAACATGTCCAAAGTATTTTAATTATTGTTAGATAGGGACTTGGCTCGATAGTCGTTTACTGACTTTAAGCTCATTTAAAATTGAAATATTTGTCCTGTGGTTGGTCCACGAAATTTTTAAGTCTTTTCAACAGAACATTTCAGTGGCGTCTCTCTTTCTTCTTTCCGCTTGTCATAGGGTAGTTGACATTAATATTGATTAAGATTTTAAAATGTTCAGTTATAATGAAAGTTTAAGGGACAATATAAGATTTCGTAATCTTTATAATATTAAGGCTCTTCAGTTATTATGCAACATGGGCTTAAGAAGAAAGCTCAAAAGGACTTAGTTTCTAGTTTTATATGTAAAACCAGAGTGTAAAGCTTAGGAGTTTGCATGTTAGTGGGTAGTATAAGAAATATGGGAATATGTTTCATAAAAAAATATGGGAATACCATTGGATAAACATCATCATCATCATCATCATCATCATCAATGGCGCTACAACTCTTAGTAAGTCTTTGCCGCGTTTACTATTGCCTTTCATGTTTATCGGTCCTGTGCCAGTAATTCCCATTGTCGTACTAACTTCTCTAGATCTTCTCTGACTGCATTTTTCCACCTTTTTCTAGGCCGCCCTACAGACCTTCTTTCAACTGGCCTTTTCTCAGAATACATTGTTTATAAGGCGATTGTCGTTACTGCGTATCACATGTCCTGCCCATCTGAGTCTATTGGCCTTTATATATCTGACTAGATTTTCTTTTCCGAATAGAGACTCTAGCTCGTTATTGTATCTACCCCTCCATTCGTTTGTCACGCTGTCTCTGCAAGGGCCATATATCATTCGAATAATTTGGATAAACCTTACAACAATACTATTTCTTAATCTCAGATTAGCATAAAAGTGCTTACTAGTCTAAAATAAGAATTGATTGTAATAATATATAGTGTAAATGTAGTTAAATATGTATTAAAATACGGTTTTTTAATTAAATCATTTCAAAAACTAATAAATAATTGGTTTTTTAGGTATTGCATAGCCATGGTTATGAAGTAGACGTACATGTACTTATGGCTATAATCCTAATACCCATTTTGTTACCATGTCTAGTCCGAAATTTAAAGTACTTAGCTCCATTTTCTACACTAGCTAATATTTTAATGATACTAGGAATAATTATTGTTTTATACCATGCAATCTCCGATGGACTCCCCTCTATTACACAGAGGATTTATGTAGCGAATCCTAAAACAATGCCATTATTTTTTGGAACTGCCGTTTTCGCTTTTGAAGGAATAGGATTGGTAAGTTTATATATTTTTATTTGTAGGTATTGAAAAATTTGATGAAAAAACTTAAAAATTCGTAATAAAATTCATTCCTACTCGAGAAGTTAACGAGTAAACATACTACCTCCTGCTAATCTGTATTTGGTAAGTTAATGTACTTTAAAACTATATAGATCACTTAAAAATAATTGCAGTCCATGCTGAATTAGCATTTGGCATTTAAAATAATAAAATCAATTATGATGTCCTTTCCACAGTCAGCCAAACCTAGTTTTGCAGCATCTACCAAATCAATACAAAAAAATCTCTGCAATCAACTTCATGACCAAGAAGAAATCAGGTTATTGTAATATATGCTATTGTCGTCTTTTACTACATAAAATCGTTGATTGATTATTTGAATTCGGATATTCAGTTAACGATAAAAGCTACCGAAAAAATCGTTACTCCAAAAGAGTAACGAAGTAACGATTTGGTTTCCGCTTTGCTAATCAACGTAGATTTATCTACCTTTCTTTCGTATTCATAGTAGAAAAAAATCATAAGCCTTTTACCTTAAGAAATTAAATTAATTTGTTTCGTAGACTTATAAAACCTGCAAAAAGCTACTACTCTCTTATATTTATTCCTCTATATCTATCTCCATCTAATACACGCATCGAACATGCTCTTAAAAACATTTTGCTGGAACTAGTGGGTTAACTAACGAATTATATTTTTCTTCGGAAGAGCAAAACAATAATACTAAGGGCAAAAAGAGGATACGTAATATTAAAACAAACCTGGAAACACAATAACTTCGCAATACCGGCAAAGCGTATGAATCTGTGAACAAAACACAATTGCCTGCAAGGAGAATGGGTTCGACGTGCGGCAAAAAATACAGGTTAAAATGTCGTTCACGAATAAACGAGACATCAAGACAAGATAGGTTGAATAAGTATTGGAGTTTGGGAGATTTACAAACACAAAGAGAATTCATTATTAGACATTCTATATAAATTAAACCAAAATACAGATATTCTTCAACAAAAAATGTTCGCAAATTAAACACTGGATTTAATTTTACAATATTGCTACAGCCCTATCCAAAAAAACAGATTGAGGTTTAATACAAGATGAATTACGTGGAAAACATGGCAAACAACATACTGTGGAACCGGAGATCTATGAAGGTGTCAAACATTTTATAAATGCTATACCACGCGTCGAATAACATTACCTTAGAGCCCAGACGTCACATATATCCAGTGTGACAAGTCTTTAGCTGATTTACATTGAGGCTGCAAAAATAAATGTATAAAAGAAAACATATCATTTGCGTCGGCATCTACCATTAACCGGATGGAAAAAAAATATTTTTGTGGCTTACGAAAACCATTTGAAAGAAAAAGAACTGTCCAGAAAAGAGAAAGAAAAAGACAGAAATGCTAACATAGATTCAACAATAGTCGCTGTATATGACTTACAAGCTGTAATGCCAGTACCAAAAGGCCAAGTTTCATTATTTTTTTACAAAAGTAGAATTAACTGTTTTAATTTTAATGTGAGTGACTTGTTCGCTAAAAATGTCGAATGCTATTTTTGGGACGAAACGGAGGGAAAACATGGTGCGAATGAGATTGGGAGTTGTACTCTGAAATATATAGAAAAACTTTTATAGGCTAATCCTGGTAAAGAACTGGACTTTATATTTTATTCTGATAATTGTTGCGGGCAGCAAAAAAAATAAATACATCCTTACAGCATATGCGTACAGTACAGAAAATGAATGTCAAAATCATAACCATAATGTCAAAAAGTGCATTAAAAAATCTGGTCCAGTGTATGTCCCACAACAATACGAAATTAATTCAGACGGCGAAAAAGACAGGCAAACCGTATAGCGTGACTGATATGACTAATGAAAAATTTTACAATCTGAAATTACTTTATGAAGAGTGGGGTAACAATTTTAATGTCAATGAGGAAAAAGACAAAATCAAATGGCATGACATTAAAGCATTTCGTGTTGAAAACGAACATCCATTTACTTTCTTTTATAAAAACTCTTACGAAGATGAAGATTACCAAAAAGTTTTCGTACGTAGCTTACAACGAACTGAAAACCAGATTTCGTTATTTGCTAATGGTTTGACACGAGAGTACTCGTACACAAGCAAGATACCTTTAACTGAAAATAAGAAAAGGAACTTAAAGGAATTGCGTGACAAAATGTTTTACCCAGAAGTTACCGTGAAACTTACTATAAGGATTTGATCGATTAAAAATTAAAATTGTATTTAATTGTAATCAGTAATAATTGATTTTGAGACTGATTCAAACTGAGTTCAAATAATTTGTTTTTTTTTTTAAGTAGGTCCTTTTAATTGACCACGAATTACTTAAATATGTCTATATTTTGTGTTCTTTTTTCGGAAGTTTTATTTTGTTAAATATATAGATTAAGTACAAAATGTTCAAGAATACTATATTTTGTTATCTGTATCTGAATTTGTTTGATTATAACATAAACGTAATTAAAATCAGTCTTGATTTATTTAATATTATTAAAAACGACAATTCTCGGGAATTGTTAACGTGTAATACAATATCTTTAGAATAATTGATGGATTCGACCGTTACTTGATGGAAATTCATTTTATGTAACAATAAAACACTGAAAACTTTGTTTTCAAACTTCCACAAAATTTATTTTAAATATTATTACTACAGCTGTTTCGGCTGATTGCCTTTCTCAAGTGATCTATTTTGGCTTGGGTTTACAAATTTATAGTCTCTAATGAAATAGGTTGAGGAGGGGAGAACTGTTTGTCTCAAGTTGGTCATTCAGAATTATATCTGTGTTTTTTAATTTGTTGATTTCCATAGATTCTAACAAAGATAGCTTAAGGCCTTTATTTTGAATGTGAAGAATTTTAAATTTCTCCCCTCCTCAACCTATTTCATTAGAGACTATAAATTTGTAAACCCAAGCCAAAATAGATCACTTGAGAAAGGCAATCAGCCGAAACAGCTGTAGTGATAATATTTAAAATAAATTTTGTGGAAGTTTGAAAACAATATCTTTAGATCCAATGTTAACAAATACTAAGAATCAAGTTCCCAAAAGTATTGTAAGTCCAAAAACTAACGTAAACCGCAGAAAAAAATTGTAAATCAAATTGTAGTAACACAAAATATTACATAAGTAATGTCATTATTAAAAATAATATTTCATTTCGAACATTTTGTTAAAGCAATACAGTGTTAACTCAAAATTTTTGAATAACTTCACTGTCAGTATTTTTATTTAACAAAGAGTACAAAGAAACTTCATTTAATATTAATTAGAAACATATTATCCATTAATTTTATTTTTACCTGCAATAGGAAATGATTAATCAGTTTTCCGTTGATTTTGAAAAATCATCTTTTTTGAGTTACGACACTATTGTATTATTAGTGCGATATATTAGTATATATATATATATATATATATATATATATATATATATATATATATATATATGTATATATATATATATATTTATATATTTATTTATATATATATATATATATATATATATATATATATATATAAATAAATAGTTGCTTAACTGTTTATACAAGATCAGCGTACTATGTCCATTTACTTAGTTTCATTCACATATTTGTTAATAACATTGACTGCTACATATCTTTTTAAGGTAACAATTAACATCGTTTCCATGATTGTGTGGTTCTCATATTGTAATAATTTTTTAGATGAACTGATGATGCTTTCAAAACTCGAAAGCGAAACGTCTTCAAAATAGATAAAGTAGCCTATCAACTTTGTCTTTTATTTCTCCACCTAGAGACCGATATAAGAACCCACCACTCGTCTGAGTGATCCTTATATATATATATATATATATATATATATATATATATATATATATATATATATATATATATATATATATTATATATATATATATATATTTATAAATATTTATATATATTTATATATAACTTTTACATTGATTGTAAAAGGAGGTGAGATGAGAAGGATTATTTATTTTCTGTTTGGTTAGACATTTGATTTTGTGCCAGAACTTACCTCCATCACGATAATCAAGAGTAGAGGTGGCCGCAATCCATTTTCTGGACTGCAGATTGTTCACCTGTAATTTGATTATTGTAGACGGGCTGTTATATTCTGCTTTGACAAGAGGGTTACGGGTACGTTGAAACTGACGGAGTAGTCGTCTCTTATGTTTGATATTATTAATGATATATTGAGGTAGATGTAGTTTATTAGGGTTGACAACCGTATTGGGGTTGGAGTTCAGTGATGACCGTGATACCTTCATCGATATCATCAGGCTGTATTAAATTTGTTAGGTCAGGAGTGTTGACTGATAAAAAGGTTCTGAAGAGGTCTTGATTGGCATGATTATAGTCTCTTATTATTTTGGGAGGATTAGAAAGAAGAGGGTTAAATATCTGTTCTTTAACCAGCAGGAGTAGGTGATCCGACGTAATCGAGTCACCCAGAAAGCACTCATCGTCCAGTAAGGCAATCACATCGTATGTACACACAATATGATCGACGATCGATATGCCCTGGTGACCCACAAAAGTCGGTTCACGGTTACAAATTCGGTGTATAGGGAGGTTAATGAGCAGATCCGAAAAATCATTGCCTGCACGGTTTCTTAGCCGTGTCACCAAATTAAGTGTGCCTAGCGTTAAAGTCTCTAAGTACGATTGCCTTATTCAGGCTGGATGCTGGACAATGCTTCGGATAAGGGTTGGGCTGGATGTTTATAATAAGAGACTAGTGTGAGTGATGTATGATCATCGAAGTGGATGTCAACGGCCAGAAAGTCTTCATCATTAAGGATAACATGAGGAGGGATGGTGTGAGGGGAGAAAGGAATGCCATATTTAATTAGGAAGCCAGAACCGCGAGATATCTGGCTGCGAAGGCGGTGTAATGTGCAATATCCGGAAAAAATAGGGTCATTTTTAGAAAGGGTGTCGGAGAGTGTAAGGATTTGTATATTGTGGTGTTGTAGGATGTATTTAATGAAGGGGCGTTTTCTGGCCACAATCTGGCAGTTTACAGCACCTAGCGAACTGACCATTACAAAGGTAGGAAGGAGATGGATGCAGTGTTATTATGGGCCACAAGAGTACTCTTGTGGCCGAACATCAGAGTAGAGATGTGATTAGTGACGTCTAAGATAAGCTGGCGCTTATCAGGAATTAGATTGATTAGGATAAGGGATGAAAATTTTATGACTGCCGTCATGTCAGAATACAATTCATAGGGTAGGACTCGTTTCTCAGTAGTTATCGGTTGTGTTTCCTGAGGTGTTTTAGGGATTTCCCTTCTGTGCGGACATTTTACCGAGTAGGCCGCATGATCACCGCCACAATTAGGACATTTAGGCGACTTAGGGGTAGGGCAGGATGTAGATTTCTGGTCTTGGCCACAAGTAGGGCGCCTTTTGCGAGCATTCCGCTGTGGTATGCCCGTTCTTTCTGCACCGGCCACAGTACTTGCACACAGGAGGGACAGGATTGGAATTTATTGGGAGCTCTACGTGCATACGGAGCCCGTCCATGAAAATGCGCCTGGTCAGCATCTCCGTGTACTTAAGTTCACTAGATGTGGCCAGTTTGACAAATGTGGTAGGATGGTTGCTACGAGAAATTATCCGCCATAGTTTGACTACGGGGATATTCATTCCTGTAAATCTTTGAGTGAGATCGGCATCGGAAGAGATTCTACCTACCTTTGACGACCACCAGGAATGTAGGAGTGTTTAAACGGGTATTATTTTTAGGTGAGGATATGTGTTTAGGAGTAATCTAAACTTTGGGATCACCCAAGGCTTCACGGAGTCTGCGTTGGAGCTCGACGTGATTATTGGAATGGAGATTGGTAAGGTGAACTATCTGTGTCGAGAGCACTTTGACCGTCGGGATCTGATTTAACAGACGCCCTCTGGTATAAATAACTCTGAAGAAATCTCTTAGAGTAGATTTCTTTAGAGAGATGTGGGTGATTGTGTAATTAAAGGATTTTGGTTGTGTATTGGTTTGAGTACTTGAAGTAGATGGGGTGGCTGAAGAAGGTTGTGGTTTAGGGGTGTGAAAAGCTGTTGGATATGATGGTTGTATTTGATTGTGACTTTGAGGAGAGTGAAGGTGGTTGTTTTGAATAGGTGAGGGTTGAATTTGTGTGATATGTGTGGTAGAAGTGTGTTGTTGATTGGCTGCTTGGATGGTAGTGGGTGAGGAAGGAGGATTACCAAGGTGGAGGTGGAGGTGGAGGACGACCGGGACAGCTGCAAACGCGCGATCAACCGGTAAATTTGGTGATCAGGGAGGTTGGTTACTAGGTCTGTGACGAAATTATCAGTAACAACGTCCATCACAGGAGGGTAGTATCTTCAAGGATGTGTATTATAGGTAGAGTATATGCAGGTGGTGTGGGTTGTGTGTATGAATGGTTTGGTGAGATTGGTAGAGGTGATATAGGATTTTGTGTAGCATTATGTATGGGTAGGGGTGGGAACGCCGTGATATCAGGATTAGTGTGTGTTGCATATGGAGGTGGGTCAGGTGCTTCGACTGGTCGAGGTTTATGTGACCTGTTGGAACGGGTCGATCGTGGCATTTTTTAAAGTCGGGACTAGGTTGCCCTAGAAGAAGCTCTTTTTTCTATTCGCTGCGTAAGGAATAGAATGGCGGGTAGCCGGACTATAAAAACACTACTTGATCGCTAGCGGTCCCTCGTTATGTACTATTTAATTTTTCTATAGTTATACTTTATTACTAACTATAGTAATTTTTCCCTATGCTTACTATATTATTTTAAAGATCAGTTAAAACACTTAGGCAGAGTCAGTAGTAACAACCCTCAATTGGAAGCTGACAGCCCCGGCAACAGCGGACGTAGGTGACTTTTTCTTACAAAAACCACCCACTATGCCTACACCGTGACCGGCAGAATCTCCAAAAAGAAACTGAATGCACTAATCTGTAAGAGTATCCAACACTATCCTACAACAAAGCCTTTAAGCACCGTGTCTTTCTATTTCTATTGATTCTCGGATTTTGCGTTTTCTTTTAAATTCATTGTTAGCTAGCATTGTAGTTTGGTTCAGGTTTATTGTATGACCTGTGTTTGAGACATGTTGGGCAAAGGACAACGTTTTTTCTTTCTCCTTTCGATGGCATTTCGATGTTATTCTCGTCTAACATTAATTCTTTGGTTGGTC